GTTGTCTGTTGTGTCTCAATCGCGATGTGTTTCTTGCCTGAACTACTGCTGTAGCGGCAGCGGTCACGCTTACCAGCCGACCAAGCCGACCAATCAATGTAGTATGAAAACGTCAGGCTTCAGCCGGATGAGCCGATGAAATACAACGCGAGCACTCTTTCTTCTCTCTATCGACAGGGAGGGTGATCGAGTTGCACGACACAACAGTGTCCTACTGCTAGAGTAAGGATAAGCCTTGTGTGTGCTTGATTGATGTCGAGGGCGAGCCTGTGTGTGCTGGTCCTGCCTCTCCCCTCCTCCCTCTTTGCGGGCGCGAGCTCGCCGCCAGCACAGCGCCACACACTGGCACGTGCTATGCATGTCAACCATGCTGGATCGGTCTCGCTTTCACAGCGTGACCCGTGCGTCTCGCATGTAGTCTAGACTGCAGCAAGCAGTCGTCCACGGGGTATCGTACGCGCGTGTGCATGTTTCCAAACGGAACATTTGTGCTGGGATACGTGTTGCCCGGCCATTGTTGACTTAGAGCGGAAGAGTTGACGGTTGGTGTTGTTTCGCAAGGGCGGAAACTGATTCCTGCCCCGTTGCCATGGTTGTTATTGGGCAGGAAGAGTCGCCGTTTGGTATCCGATGGTTGGAGGGGAAAAGGAGTTGGGAAGATTCCTGCGGGGGAAATGATTGATGAAAGGGTCTAATTTCCCGTCAGGTCAGGGTACATTTCCGAAAACAGGGAACAGTTATTGAGAAAAGTAGTCACGGCAGGGTATACCCTGCGCCTTTTCGGACGCACCGGGGTGAAATTGGGCGCTGACCAATGATATGAGTGCATTTACTGCTGCTAATGACTGCGTATCCAGGTGTGTCGCTTTTCGACCAGGGTATACCCTGTTGTGACGTTTCCCATTTTTTTTTTGGCGGTAACAGTAAGGGTGGTCGAGTAGATCATGTTGTGCGGGGTGGAGAAGCCTCACTCCGCGCAAGGGGGATGATCGCACCACGTTGTGTTAAAATGGTCAAGCAC